GCTGTACATAATCAGAACATAAGGATCCATCGATACTCTCACAGAGGAATCTGGGCAATTTCGAGTTGTTCAGAGAAGGGTTTTCATGTTGATAACGAGATGTTCGATCAATTTATTCAACAAAAACGTTCAACTACGATCGAGCAATAACAACGCCTACTATTGTGAGCTACAACTATTCCGTTTGTTTTCCGATAATTGCAACAAACATTGTCGATTGACCCATTCTTCTTGGCCTATAACCGGCTGGCAACGTAATTTTAAAAAATCAAGACGCGTGGTAGCAATGATACAGATTGAAAAGTAGGGAGATGAAGTCGGAGACAATTTGGAGCGAACTATGAAAATGAACTCGCCTGCAAGCTCCTATTATTATTAATCCGACTCGAGCCGGCTTAATACATACCCTTGTTTCAACGAAACTACTGATTTAATCAAAGATCTTCTTAGGAAAAGCGAGAACGTGGAAGCATTACAGTACTTCATCCCAAAATATGTTATAGCAGCATGACCCATTCAGATTAAATTCAGCTAACCTGTTACATAGTAAAACGAGGAAGTGACAAACTTTGTCAAACCTAATTTCGATTACTAGGAAAACTTCGCGCAGGACTTATAAGAACATACAACTAAAACGAAAGCGCAAGTGTATATATAGTACCATTTGATTTGCACCGTATACCATCCGACCTCGGCTGGAAACTTAGAAAATAAAATTTTACCTTTTCCCCCTCCGTTTTCAGGTTTCAGAAACGATTTCATTGACTGCTCCAGTTGTTAAGAGTCTTAGTTCCAGCAGTAGCGATGAAACAAGAAGTTACACTGAAACATTTTTTATTAATTAAAATGAAAAAGACTGTTTTCTGTGAGTGACTGTACTCGCTATGACTCCAACAGGTGCATGCGATTATTTTTTTATTAACTCTATCGAGAAACAACACCCGAGAATTTTTCGAATCTGTAAAAATTACAGAAATGAAAGAAGTTGTCTATTTTTTGGACAAGCTAACTGTCAACGGTTTCTGGTTGGCGTATAGGAGTAAGTCAGTAATTAAAGAAAGTCTTACCTTACGTCTTTCTTGCGAAAAATTTCAACTCGATCATATTGTGATACAATTCGACAGACGAATTTAGCATTTCCACCAAAGTTGCAAAAGCCTCCTCCTTAGAAATATAGAAACACTCCTGTAACGATAACTAAAGAGTGTAAATAGAAATTATACGCCGACATAAAAATTAGAGACAAAAATGAAAATGAAGACCTTCCCAATATTCTTCTGAAACTGCCCTCATTATGGTCATATATTGTTCTTCGCATTAACATTTTAGAATCAGAATAAATAGAAAATGAAAGATGTAAGAAACAAACTCCTCGGAAATTATTCTGTGAAAATGATTAGACTGAAATTGTTTTCGTAAATTATGATATGCTTGTAAACACAGTGCATAGTTGTGATAAACAGAAAACAACCAGCTAGACCAAAAGTTTATTATTCAACCACATATAATCTCTTAATTTCATAATCAGAAAGAAGTCTGTGATGCTTGAATGGAATTTTCTCTCATTTCAGGCTGATTCCTTATAAGGTGTTCGATCATCAATGATGCGCCGGTTGTTGTCTATTTGACTACTGATCGTCTGCAAACTTGAGGAGTATGAATCAAGGGAAAAACGATTGTAGTTTCATTTTCAAAAGCTTACCATTAGTGAGCGGTGGATCTTTTGGAGTGAACGTCTAAGCCATGAATGCAACAACTCAAGAATATATTAGTTTGTTCGAATGTGATTTTGAAAGTGCATAACTGCTGATCTCATGAATAACTGTCGAAGCTTAACTATTCAAAATAAATATTCCCAAGAATTCATTTGAAAATCGTATCATAAACCTTATTGAAAGGGAAAGACTAGAAGTATGCATCATTTCATGTTGTTTCATGAGCGAAATGCTTTATTAACGAATTACGGCTTTACAATCAATTTCTTATTGGAATACTCCCCTCAGCCGTTCTGATAAGGAATGGTATCATTCGAAAATTATGTAGAAAATTTGTTGACATAGTCATCATAGAAAGCGATAGAAGAAACTCATTCAAAAACTTTTTAAGCTATCTAATACTACCTCCATTTTCATTTTTCCCATATTCTGACAACTTTCATCATTCTCAACATCATTCTTAACATCATCCTATTATAGATGGCTGAAGATGAATTCATTCATACGATTGCTGAAGAGCTCGATATTGATGTGCTCGAGTCCGAAAAACCTGAAGTCAGTGCCAATGGTGTGACAAATGTTTTGATTAAGGTTCACATATGATCATTATTATAATTATTCTGTTTCTTTCATCATTTCAAGACTATTTACCCATTGAACGGCCAGTATCGAGCATATGTTGTGAAAGATCCGTCCTTGGAAAGTTCCAGCCTCGAAGAGAGTGCAACTTTGGTTCAAAATGATTCCTTTTCAACATTAACCTTCCTTTTATATATTTTAAGGCTTCGTTTTATAACTCGCAGTTTGTCAGTCGAATTTTGACTTTGAATAAGGTCTCAGGACCGTTTGGGAAGCATGAAGTATGTCTGAGGCTTATTGATGACAAAGTGCAGACAATGCATTCCGTTTTCGTCACAAAGGTTATTTTCCAAAAATTATATTTCTCAATATGGATATTAGGTTGATCCTGGCCACCGTAAGAAGGTTCTGTCTCTTGATGATCTATGTGAAGTAGCCAAAGCTGTTGCGAAATACCATTTCATAAATGAGACCGTTGTGTCGACTGAAGTATTTCCGAAAATATATTTTTCAATAGATGTAAGCATTCTCTTCCAGGTTTTCCGAGCCATTACCGAGAATCATTCTCATATAACGGAATATGATGAGAATAATTTGCAAAAAGTTATTCGAATTCTTGAGCGTTCATTGCACACGCCTGATCGGAACTACTTCTCTTCACCATCTCAGGTTATGTCTAAGGTAAGAAAAAATATAAATTCTAATAAACAACGAACAATATAAGTAGTAAAACCGTTTTAGGTGAATTACTTGGTTGAGAAAGTAAAGAGAAGGGGGAAGCCACCTGTTAAGGACGATGTTCCGTTGGTCCTTTGCCATGGTAAACTTAATGCTTCAAGTCTGTTGTTCGAAGACAGCGAGCTGAAAGAAATCACAAATTGGGAGGTAAGGCAGAGCCAACAAACACATTTATAAATGAAATGGTGGACCTACTTGCAAAAGTTGAAAAAAATATTTAGAATACTCATTTTGCTGATCACGCTAAAGACCTGGCTCATCTAATCATTTCAACCGCAGATCCTGAAGTTCGGAGAAGTAGCTATTTGAGTGTGAGTAATGGTTCTATAGGAACGTATCTATGTGTTTATAGTAATCCTTCACATTACTTTAACCCCCTTTTAAGGTTTTCCGCTCCTACTATTATACTTTGGTTGATGTTCGTCCACCCCATTTTGAGATCGAACTACTACGCGACCAGTATTTGCAATATCAGAAGAATATTGTTTTGTCAGAGTATGAAACTATCTAACTTTTTTCATTCATATAACTTATTGATTGATATTTATAGAATTGATCCACTCCTATATGAACTATCGATTGATAATGCTGAAGATGTTCGGAAACGTCTTGTAAGACGATGGGAATCAGCTTTAGACGACGCTTATACCTATGAATCAGAGGAATATATAAGTGACAATGAGGATTGTCTGTTTTCCAAATAGTCATCAATGCTATAATTTTAATAATTATTTATATTATTTGGTAACATAAAACATATCGCCGTCTCACACTCTGAACTACTTGTTACTCTCTAACTCTCCTACCATACACACACTCTATCATCTGAAAATGAATATTTTTTATGTTTTCTCAGAAACATAAGGTATTTCCTTATGTGGTTATGAATGTTAAAAGATAAAAAATTAATTAGAAAATGGGGTATTATGGATGATAAAATTGAAAAAGGATATAAACTATGGTTGAAAATGCCATAAAAAGACATAATGAATGGCTTCTGTTCATCATTTTTTCAGTTATTTTCATATTTTGAGACTCTTCCCTCCTTACTAGCTTCTCACTCTCTCTCTCTCTCTCTCTCTATCTCCTTCTTTGGATAACAGAAAGACAAATTAGGATGTTGTGACGAAGGTTAAACTGATCGACTCCAATAAAACATTGAAATGTGTCGTCAGATGAATATGAGATTGTACTATTCATTAAGTCCTTTTATGGAAACAGGAGGAGAAGAAAAAATAAAATTTGCCTTCATTCACACGAAAATTATTGGAGAGAACGATGATTTGCTTCGTTCATAAACAAAGAACAACAAAATACTGAAGCACAGAGAAATAGAAATGGGAGAGAAAGAAAAAAAAACTAAAATGTTTGAGAATCTTTAAGCTTCAACCCATTCGTTTGAGAAGTCGTAGAAACATCTAACCAATTCAAAGTTTGTTTTTCATATTTCTAAATATATTTCCTTAAAAGTTTGATGATGATTGAACCTTCTAAGACATTGAGAGAAATATGCTTAAAAAATATTGTTAAGAGAGAGAGAGAGAGAGAGGAGAGAGCTTAAGAGGGGTTCATTTCTATATGTATATATAGATATAGATAAAGAGAGGAATAGAAATAGAGAGAGAGAGAGAGAGAGATAGAGATCAAGAGAATGAGAGGGAGAGGTGGCTTGCAGAATGAACGAAAGTTATAATGCAAGTAAGATGGAGCAAAAATAGATTTGTTCGAGTGAGTGGAGAAAAACTAAAAAAATCTTAAGTCAGTTAGACATTTTTTGGAATGCAAATCAAGCTTTAACCTCTTTTCTCATATTTGTTTGGTGATTCTTACGTTCACTCTCATATTCTCTCTGACAGCTTCCTCTCTCCTCATATGGTATAGTCAAGATTACATTCATCTCTTAAACACATCCTTTGTATTGAAGATAAGAAACCCTCCTATGGCATATAACTTAGAAAATCCAAATATATATATATATATATACATATACATATATATATATATATATATATTCAAATCTTCACAGGATTTTTAATTATTTTTGCCTTTCATGATGAGATGGAGGCTGACAAATGAAGTTTGGAAAGATACTTTCTTGTGAAATGTTTTGTATTGCAATGATACATGAATCGGATATACAATGACAGCGAACTGTTTTCATTTATATTTTTGATTTCGAAATGAGTAGAAAGAGCGAGAAAGTTCTTTCTCATTGCAAGCTGTGAGCTTATGTCTATGAGCTGCCCATGCCTTGCCCTGTTTGAGTCAGCAATAAAGAAATATTTCTTTTGAATATCCTTTTTTGCGGCTGTAAGTGATACTACTACCCCCCCCCCCTTTCCATCAACTCCTCCTCTGCTTCTCACTCTCACTTTTCTCTTTCTCTTTCAAGATTCTCATTATGACATTTGAGGGAACAGTTTTGAAATTCTTTTTCAATCTTAGATTGCCAATAGACTTCTTCTGCTTCCTGCTTGAGGCGCTCACAATCGCTCTTCTTCTAATTCTTTTTTTTTTGAGCCTGAATTTTAAATGTACGAAATGGGTGGTAAAGGGGTTTTTCATTTTTTTTTCTTTTTTCAACAAATTTATTTCTCTTTCTCTCTTTTCTCTTCTTGTATCTCATTCAACAATAATAACGAAAAGAGAGTGTGTGAGAGAGAAGAAAAGATTCATAAGAAGGCAAAGACATGTTGTAATGAGTACTTTCCATTCGTTTTTGTCTCATTCTGTTTAACATTCTCAATGCTTTCACTACCATACAAGGAACTTCCTCATATTATGCATGACGATCCAGCTGAAATGGAATCGTTGGAGGACATTATATGACACGGATCTTCTGTCTGTTACAGAAACATTCTGTCGTCTTCTTTAAATTGGATTTTTCACTTTCCTTTATCTTCTTCTTTTACTTTCCCTCTCTCTCTCTATGTGTATATATACATATTCCTCTCTCTCTCTCTTTCACTTTCTCTCTTTCTCTTATTTCCTTTTTTGTCTTTCTGATCGCATAGACGCATTTTTCGTCATATTCCTTCTCTTATAGATAAGTTTGCAAATTGTGAAGTGTAGAGGAAATTAGTTTGAACCTTGTGTTCAATAATTTTTAATTTTTTTGAACTTTTCCCTCCGAAAGTTCAAAGATTCATTGTTTTTCTTCTTCCCCTATCTATGGCTTCCATAATCTGCAGCCGTTTTTCACTCAAATCATCCATTATTCCATCCAACCGCATCTCGATCTCCTACTCACTTTAGACGGAACTGATTTTTATTTTATATTTATATATATTTATATTTATATATATATATATATATACATATATATGTATATTGAACAGAAAAGTCTTTTGACAACAAGCTCAAGAGCTCAAATGGTAATCTGAAGAATGAGAAGTGAGTTTTTGGCACGAAGCTACTCAAAACTCAACGCCATCATCAGAAGTTTCACAATGTCCATTATGTGAATTGAATGATATAGAGAGCATGAGAGAGTAGGAGATAAAGCTAAAAATGTAAAAATCAACAAGACGGTCAGAGATAGATAAAGAGAGGGAGGTAGTATAGAGGGAAAAGCTGAGAAGAGAGAAAAGAAACATGATGTGTTCAAGTAGTCCTTCGTAACGCCCACATTTTCTGCAGAAAATTAATTAAAATATTTCAAGAGATTTTCCTTTGAACAAAAAAAGAAAGAGAGAGAGAGAGAGCCATAAGAAGCAAAGGAAAGAAAGAAAGAAAGCCGAAGACGAAGATTTTTCATTTTTTTCTTCTTCTTCTTATTTCATCACCTCTATGCATAGAACACATATGGAGGCCTCTAACAGATCTCTTGTTGTTTCATTACCTGCAAAGTTCATTTTCTTTTTCCTTTTTTTTTCTTTTTTCTTTGTTTTCTTTCGCTCTATCCATTTCTCTCTCTCTCTTTTCTGCTTCGTTTCTATTTTCGTCGCTGTGTTGTCCAAATATGGAAATGAGAATGAAATTCCACGTAATCTCAATGCTCTTCGTCAAAAGTTCTCCTCTACCCCCTCCTTTTTTATCTTTCAAAGTCTTTTCTTCGTTCGTCTCTTCACTTTTCATAATATTTATGAAAATGATGGGTTCCGTATTGACCTTTGGGCTAAGAATCACTAAAATTCCATCGAATAAGCATGCGAAACACTCTTTACTTGCTGGAGCTTCCATATTTTCTTGTTAAAAAAAATAAATCTGTGTCTTGAAGATAGATGATTAACTCTCTCTCTCTCGCTCTCCCTCTCGTTTACAAATTAGAAATATGTAAATGCAGCTATTCATCTCATAGATGATACCTCTGACCGTTTGTTCGGTGAACACTAGAGAGCCCATCTGTTGGACGAATCAAGTTTATCCATATGAGCAAAGAAAATCATTTTTTCTTTCAATTTTCATCAATAGGAAAAGCTTTTCATCAATTTGCATCAGCATTTCACAGTTTTATTTCCAATTTTTTTCATTTTTTCTCTCTCTCTCTCTCTGTTGAATTACGGACAATTGTGTTTGATTTGAGGTGCCATTCATGGCCTTTACTTTCATATCAAAATATATTCTGAAATCACATAATAGACTGATGAGAAGCTAAACTGCGTTAGAGAGAGGAAAAAAATGCATTTTTCATTCTTTAATTGAATGAGTTGTAGAGAGCGGTCGGTTCTTGTGTGTATGCGCAAAGACAACATTTTAATTTTTTTTTTTTGATTTCAAAACTTTCTTTTTACATATTTATTAATTTTTTTTGTGTGTGATTGAAGTTGTTCGATGATTCTGTTCAATTGCCTACCTCTCTTCTCCTTCCCCCTCCATTCATTCTTTCCTTATTTGGACTGAAACGAATTTTCTTTACCTCGTTATTTTTAGAAATGAAAAGTTTAGAGAGGAAAGTCAAACATCTTCATAGTATGAATGACTGAATGATCAGACTAAACTTGTAGAAAGTTGAAAGGAGAGTTGCATTCATTTTAAAAATGATCAACAGAAGTTTCGGTTATGAACTTGTTAGGAAACCCCTTCCTCCATCCTCGTTCAGTTGTATGTTGAAGGAGCATTGAGAGAATGTTGAATTGAACTTCAGTTTCGTTTGATGAATTTTGATCGTTTTTAAACAAAATCTTCTCCTCTGTCGTCCGAATGAAAAAAAAAAGTCAAAAAGAAGAGAAAACTATCCTCTCAAGAGGTCTTTACGTTGAAAAACGAAAAAAAATCTTCTATGATATGGTTGTGACAAAGAAGAATCAAGTGGTTTATGACTGTAAAGCATAATTTATCTTGAGCTTCTGTGTCATTCGTGCTGTCAAGCTTGCAAAGAGAGAGGGAGAGAGAGAGAGAAAGATTGAAGAAAGAAGGAGTAGAAGAGAAGGAGAGTCAAGTACTTTATTCGTTTGTATATTCTGTTAGTTGTCGTCATTGTTCTTATTGCATTCAATTCAATTTGAATTTTGAAGAAGAAAAAACGATGCTGATGAATAGAATTATGATAGCTTTTTGCTGGAGGGACATTGACAGGAGTTGAAGGGAGAGCTAGCTGGGTAGGCTGGTGAACAGAAAATACAAGAACCGATTAACGATTGTGAAGGAAGAAAGGCATGAAGAAGGAAAAGTTGAGAAAAAAAAGAAAAGAAAAGAGAGAGAGGGAGTAGAGTAAGAGAGAATGATCTTAAGATAGAAAGAAAGGAGGGAGAAGGAAAGAAGT